TCCTCTGGAGCTCTTCCCTCAGGTGGAAAATACTCACTCCCTGTGGAACCATTTGACTACTGTCTGTCTCCTCTAGTAGGCTCCAGGAGGCATAGATCACATTTGATTTTGATCACCTTCATACCCCAGCCTGTATCATAGAGTCTGGCACTTACTAGATACTCATTGAATACTTTGTTAAGTGAATGAAAGTCACTAATTACCAAAGAGCATGGTGGGTTGTGCTTTTAATGAACTCTCAATGAAAATGAAGATAATGGATGAAACCGAGGATACTGTTACATATAATAATGAGGATACTCTTAAACATAATAATAATGATGCTGATGCTTAAAAAAAAATGGTGATGGTAGCTACTTCTGTTAAATTCTAACCATGTTCCAGGCCTTTTGCATAAAATGTACCCCTTATAACTCAATGAGGAAGGCAAAATTACTCGCTACATTTTACCAACGAAGAGAATGAACATTAAAGGAGATTGATGACTCCGATAAAGTCATGCACTTAATTGGCTGGTGGAGCCCAGGATTCAAATGAACATTCGTAACCACCATGCAAAATTGTTCTCCCTATGCTATTTTACTAAAGCATCCTCTGGTTTATGATCTGGAGGAACAAATTGATCCTGTCCTCATATGTCCTGAGCAGTGTGATAAGTTACTGTGTGACAACCCAAAATAGCAACAGTTCTCCATCACTTCAGTGTGAGGCCTCCACCGTGTTTTTAGCCAGGAGCAAAAAAAAAAAAACAAAAAAACAAAAACCAATGTAGAATCAGGGGCCATAAGATTCTTTATTTTCATTTTCAGAGCATTGGAGTGGGATTTCTTTTTTTTTCTTTCCCACCAATCTTCTTTGGTGCACCTCCCCCTTGGTTAATGTCTTTTGCTGCAGTTCTGTTAATAAGGAGTTATCACATATTTCATTTGTTCGTTTGAAAATCCAATGTTTATTGCAGTGCAGAACAGCCACATTATTATAAGCACTTACTCAGGCAAATTAAATGACTCCATGTAGTAGCTCTGCAAAGTCTGATTTCCATGTGTGGAATCATGTTTATCATCACCCAATTTGAAAGGCACAAAACAGCACATTTACATTGGTAACTTTTTTATAACATTCCTTTTCTACATTATTTATTTGCTCTGTTGTTAAAAACCAGCCCAAATCCCTTCACGGAGGAGGACACACACAAAAGGATGGCAATATTTAAATATTAGGGCTGTGACGGGGTGAAGCAATTGAGGCATGTCCAGCATTGCCTTCTGCCCTCATGGGTGCATTATGTAGATTCAGGGATTGCCAGATTTTCCTTTAAGAGTTTAGCTAACTGATTCTTTAAGAACATAAGGTTTCTCAAGGAAGTGTAAATAGAAGGCATTTTTCAACACAGTATTGGCCGAGGAGAAAGCATTGGATCTTTTGGGGCTTTCACTTCATGATTACTGCAAGTTTTTTTTTTTTCCTCCACAGATTCTCCCTCCAGGAAGAGAAGGAGCATTCTTTGCAATTCTAGCCTCTTTAAAGAATGACCTCCTTGCCTCCAAGAGTGTCTTTCGGTATTACCAGTAGAAATGAATTATCTTAAAGCTAACTTTTATTTTAAAGCAAAAATTCCATTTTGGAGGGGGGAGAATTTAATCTCAAACCCTAGAACATATAAGGTTAATGGCAAACTCGCTTCAAGGAGAGAAATATAAAAAGCAAAATTGCTCAGTCGGCTGAAGAACTAATCAAGCATATTGTTCCCTTGATTCTATAAAATTACAGCAAACCTTTTAGAAAGGTTGAAAAGATGTCCGTGGTGTGCTCTCAGTTTCCTTGTCTGTAAATGCGTGTTCCCTCTTCCCAGAGGCGCTGGTATGTGCTGAAGGGGGTCTCCTGGCTAAGGGCTGAGTGTCTTTCCAAATGACAGATGGTTCCCTCTACTGGCTGAACTTAAATTCAGTCCTCTGAGCTGAGCCAATCAGGGAGGAATCACCATCCTTCTCACTGATAATGAAACCAGTTTTGAGTTTCATCCTTAAAGAAACCAACCACCCGAGGCCAGTTTAAGTGTACACAGGAGCTGGTGATGGACCTCCTCCCTGTCTCCTTCTCCCCGCCCTCCTTTCTTCCTCCTTCCCTTTCCCTTTACTTCGAGAAAAATTTAAAGATACAGACAAGCCCAAAAGGTAGTGTAATAAGCATCTGTATTTCTACTATCTAAAAAGGAGCATCTGTTTATGTTTAGTCAGATTTACTTCGTTTGTGTGTTTGTTTCTTTTCAAAGCAATTATTGATGAAACCAAATTCCCTTTTAACTACCACATCTGGCTTTCCTTCCACTCTTTACTCTCTCAGCTGTCTACCAAAAGTTCCCTACCATAAATTTAGGATGTTTTTTTTTTTAAATGTTGAATTAAAAAAAAATTTTTTTTTTATTAGTTGGAGGCTAATTACTTTACAATATTGTAGTGGTTTTTGTCATACATTGACATGAATCAGCCATGGATATACATGTATTCCCCATCCCGATACCCCCTCCCACCTCCCTCTCCACCCGATCCCTTTAGGATGTTTTTAACTAGTGTATTGTTTATATTTTTTATGCACACACATATATATACCAACAACCAATATACACTATTTTGTTTGAATATTTAATGTTTAAATCTTTCCTTGTTGCTTTTTTAACATCACAGTATTTACAAAAATGAGCTGCATTGATGCCATAAAAATAAATTGATCAATTTTAACAGCTCCGTAATATTCATATATCCATATAGTGCCTTTTATTGACCTGTTCCATTTCCAGTGCAACTTTTAGATCATTTCCAAAGTTTGCTGTACAAAAACAAAAACACTTCAGTATTATTTTAGTATGTGTCTTCTTGTGTCCATGTTGCTTGAGTCCAGTATACCCTGTAGGAAGAATCAGTATACCATAGGATATTGTAGTATTTATTTTGATAAATATAATGAAATTGCTCACCAGAAAGATATACCAGTTCATGATTTGGCCAGAGGTAAACTAGATTATTATGCTAATTTTTTCCCTCCATCTTAGACAACACTGACTTTTGTCTGCCTTTTCCATGTTTACTAGTCTAACAAAATAAAAATGGAATTCCATTAATATAATATGCATTTTACTCTAGTGATTCTGAGCTTTTTTTAAATGTTCATTGTTCATTGAGATTTCTTCTTTGAACAACCATTTTTTCCTAAATGTTTGTTCATCTTTTTTCTTGATTTTAGTAGTTCCTTATATATTTTGGTTACTTATTCTCTGTTTCATGTTCTTTGTTGTTCAGTCGCTAAGTCGTATCTGACTCTTTGCGACCCTATGAACTGCAGCACACCAGGCTTCCCTGTCCTTCTCTGTCTCCCAGAATTTGCTCAAACTCATGTCCATTGAGTCAGTGATACCATCCAAGCACCTAATCCTCTGTCTCCCTCTTCTCCTCCTGCCCTCAATCTTTCCCAGCATCAGGGTCTTTTCCAATGAGTTGGCTGTTTGCATCAGGTGGTCAAATACTGGATCTTTAGTTTCAGCATCAGTCCTTCCAATGAATATTCAGAGTTGATTTCCTTTAGGATTAACTGATTTGATTTCCCTGCTGTCCAAGGGACTCTCAGGAGTCTTCTCTAGCACCACATTATGAAAGCATCAGTTCTTGGCACTCACTCTTCTTTATGGTCCCACTTTCAAATCTGTACATGACTACTGGAAAAACTGTAGCTTTGACTATACAGACCTTTGTCAGCAAAGTGATGTCTCTGCTTTCTAATACTCTGTATAGGTTGGTGATAACTTTTCTTCCAAGGAACAAGCATCTTTTAATTTTGTGGCTGTAGTCACTATCCACAGTGATTTTGGAGCCCAAGAAAATAAAGTCTGTCACTATTTCCACTTTTTCCCATCTATTTGCCATGAAGTGATGGAACTGGATGCCATGATCTTTGTCTTTTGAATGTTGAATTTTAAGCTGGTTTTTTCACTCTTCTCTTTCACCTTCATCAAGAGGCTCTTTAGTTCCTCTTCACTTTCTGCCATTAAAATGGTATCATCTGCATATCTGAGGTTGTTGATATTTCTCCTGGAAATCTTGATTCTAGCTTGTGCTTCATCCAGCCTAGTGTTTCTCATGACATACTCTGCATATAAGTTAAATAAGCAGGGTGACAGTATACAGCCTTGATATACTCCTTTCCCCATTTTGAATCAATCCGTTGTTCCATGTTCCAAGAACAGTTCTAAGTGTTGCTTCTTGACCTGCCTACAGATGCCTAACATCTGCCAGGAAATTGTGCTTGGTGTTTTATCCTAATTAAAAAAAAATATATTCTCTTTATAAATATACCCTTCATATATATATGTATTATTATGCCCATTTGACAGAAATGAAAAGTGAGGCTCAATGGAGTTCAGCAGCTATATTAGACACAAAGATAGTGAAATGCATTACTAGAATTCAAACTCAGGCCAGTAGGACCACAAACCCTTGTTCCTTCTGTTTTCAGATTCCTTCTGATTCTCATGGAGACTAGGGTTTCAAAAGAAAGTTAGGTAAACTGGCCCGCAAAGTACCCTTCAGACAGGCCAGAGGATTTGGCGTAGACCACCACAAAACCAGAGAGGCACTCTTGCTGACAGGCTGGCAGGTTGGCTTCATCTTTCTGCAAAATAGAAAATCCCAATGGCATTACTGGCTGACTATGAAGAGGGTCAAGTAACAATGCAGCTAGAACAGCCCAGGACTGGCTAGAAGTGGGAAAATGGGATTTCAGAGCACTGTTCTGCCTCTTCCTTTATGTGACCTTGTAGGGGTCAGTGCAGACCACTGACAACACTTAGACATTACACATGTGCCTTTATTCTACCCTTTCAGCAGTACCGATGCAGTCCTGTTTGCTCAGTGTTCATGCTGCCTGTCCCTAATGAAGCTGTACCTATAAGCCATCTGGATCACTGCAGAAATGATCATCTGAACTTCTCTTTTCTGATGTAGGTATTCAGGACTGCCAGCCTGCCGACAGCCTCCGCAGAAACTCCGCACACCCTTCTGTTGAGCGTTCTGAGGAAGTAACCATCTTCAGACAGGTAATGTTTACTTAATTTAAGATTTTTTTCATAGAGTTAGGCATACCTGACTTACTATGGACATCTGTATCATAGCAGTAAGATTCCTATGTACACATAAAATAGAACTCTTAAAATGGTAAAATTTCAGGGCTCAATTTCCTTAGAGAATTTACCCTCTCCTGACTTCTATTTGTAGCTGCCATTTAAAACTCAGGATATAAATATTATGTCAGTTAAATAAGGAGTGATGACTTTACTTTTTGCAGAAAGCATTACTTTCCCTTTTATGAAATGTAGTATAACTGTTGCCTGATTGACACCTATTATATTATTCTCCCCCCACCAGACAGTTACACATATTTAATAATTTTTATGTGTAAAAAGTAAGGTTAAACAGTTACATAGTCGAGTTGTTCGGCTTTGCATGCTTTTGAGAATGATCCTGGAGATGAGATGGCATTAGTAGTAGCAGGAGGTCACATCTGACATGAAATGGACCTCCTAAAATGGCAAGGGATTGTTCTTGGTCAGAGGAAGTTCTAGTGGCATTTGCTGGGACAGTGAAGAATATATCTTATAAAAAAGACTTGAGGATAGAACAAAGTAATTACTCATCTTTGTATGTATTTGAATGATTTCAGTGGATATGTTTAATATGCATTTTTAAAAATAGGGCAGTAAAGGACTGGAAATACGTGAATATGGGCAGTACTTCCCCAGCATGATATCAGTGGATAGTGTTCATTTAAACCTTTCCTAGAACTCATGTGTGCATACCCCTCTCCTCTTCTCTCACTCCTTCTCATCTTTATTCCACTCACAGTATCCCCCATTCCAAAGTCTCAGCTAACAATTTAGCATGTGTAATAAATATAAATATTGAACAGCCCCATGTGTCAGAACACAAACATTTATTATGCTTTCAGCCACGACCCAGTCTCCTGTTTCCATTTTACATTGTCTGCCTTCCATTCTCTCGTATTCTACAGTTGTTTAAAACTCATAGATTTATGCAAAGTTTACAAAATTGGGCAAGACTGTCCCTCAAATGTGTAGGGCTATGACACATTGCTGTGTTTTCTAGAAATACTCACCAAATGCAGATTATGGAGGGATGAGTCAGGCATCTTCATTTCTTGATGGCCCTGACTTCTTTCTGGTGAATCACCTTCCTGTCTAGAGGGTTTTTCTGGAAGATGTAGAAGGCTTAACGATGGTAAATGAAATGAGCTGAACTGGAACCCTGGTGTGAGCTTTGCATGGAATTGTTTGATCCTTGTGTTATGGTTCTGGTTAGTGTTTTTGAGCCCTGAAGCAAAGCTCTTTTTAACATGAAAGCTGTTAATATGAAATGTATAGATCTAAAAGAGGAGTATTTTAATATTAAATATTAGCAGAAGGAGGAATTGCAGACTATAACTTTGACTTTTAGCATATCCACCTATTTCTCTTTGCTTGGAAAGACTTCTCTTTTCTCTCTTCATAGTAAAAGGCACGTGCTTCATGATTTTGAGGACCTATACTTCACTGTTTCTTTTCCTTAAAGAGACTGACAGGTTTCTGCCATTTGCTGTGTGATCTCGGTTAACTCATTTAACCTCTCTGAGCTCTGGTATCTTCCTCCACAATATGGGGCCAATTATAGGAACTGCCTCACAGAATGCTTATGAAGGATTAAATTGTTATAAACAATTGGCAATTGTTATAAAGTGATAAGCAAGATACTTGGCATACAGAAGCTCTTAAGAGGTGATAAGGACTATTATAAGAAGGAAATGTGCACTTACTGATTCTGTATCACTGTTTAAGGATATTATTTTAAATATTCTGTTTCTCATAGGATATTACCTATTGCAGTTTTCAATGAGGCAAGATATAGAGATATCTGAGATCAAAAAACTAAGGTAAAATAAATAATGTGGCAAAGTACCATGTAGATTATCTCTGGTAGTCATGAACCCGTATAAGCCTCATTGCTTTGAGATTAAATGCTGCCAGTGTTACAGCCAGATCTGATTGATGTTTTTTCATTTTATCATTTAACTTTATGCTGTACTTTCATTCCACATCTTCTCATGTACTTGGCAGGATGATCAAGGAAGCTCTGACTTATGTTTCTACCTAAAACCAAAACCAAATATTACTAGGTGAGGTAATGAATGAAGGTTAAATATTTTGAGGAGAGGAATTGGGAGATGCAAAAGAGTGTTTCCTAAATGTTTCTCACTTGTTTCCACTTCTAGTATGGCTAAGTATGTGCTACTGAATCTGGTATTTTCACATATAGGAACTGTAAAGTATGGGAGAAAAACTACCTGACAACCTTAGAGAGTGAAAATAAATAGGTAGATTCTGAAAGGGACTTCAGATCCAAAACTTAGAAGCAGGCTCAGTGCAGAGTGATTTCCCCATTTTATGGCTTTTTTGACTGAGGGTACGCCTGGTAAGGTTAATGTCACTTCGGGTAACTAACTCCAGTAGAAAAACCACAGTCTTTTTGGTTTGAAGACCCCAGGAACAGGGTTCAGTGCAACAACAGCCCCTGGAAAATGAAGCTAGAATACTGCTTTTAAATTACTAATTTTATTTATTTATTTTTGGCTGTGCTGGGTCTTTGTTGTTGCAGACTTTGTCAATTGCGACAAGAGGGGGCCACTCTGTTGCAGTGTAGGAGCTTCTCTTTGAGGTGGCTGCTCTTGGTGTAGAGTACAGGCTGTAGGACACATGAGCTTCAGTAGCTTCAGCACATGAGCCCAGCGTTTCGGCTCCCAGGCTCTAGGGCATGCTCAATAGTTGAGGGTCATATGCTTAGTTCCTCTGTGGCATGTGGGATCTTCCTGAACCAGAGATTGAACCTGTGTCTCCTGTATTGGCAGGTGGATTCTTTACCACTGAGCCACCAGGGAAGCCCTTAAGCTAGAATTCTGGAAAGCGGAATGGCAGATGGGGGAAGCTTCCAATTCAGTGCGTAAATACAAAGCAAAGTTTTGACTGACACCTGAATCATGGATGTGTGGAGCAGACACAAGCTAGCACAGCTGAAGATGAAAGAACTGAACTGAAGTTTGAGCTGCCACCCAAGAGATAGTTTTCACCTTGTGTGTAATCAAATTAAGTGCCCGCTAAAACAAATAAATCAGTACTCTTTACAGAATTTTAACAGATTTTAGAGTCTTTGATCCAAAATATTTGCATCATACATTCACATAATACAATCCCAAATTACATAAGATATGAAGAACCAAGAAAATGTGACCCCTTCTAAAGAGGAAAGTCTAATTCCAAGATGACCCAAAGGTGGGAATTAGCAAAGATTTTTAAACAGCTATTATAACCATACTCAATGAAGCTAGAAAGATACGCTCACAATGAGTAAAAAATATAGTAAGTGGAAACTACAAAAAAGAAACAAATGGAGATTCCAGAACTGAAAATATAATATTTGAAATAAAAATTCACTGAGCTTACATCCAAAGGAAATAATAGAAGGTGTCAGTGAACCTAAAGATAGAACAGGAGCAAATTTCATTCTTAAGAACAGAAAGAAAAGAGTTTTTTATTTTTTAATTGTTGACCATACTCCACTGCATGTAGGAACTTAGTTCCCTGATTAGGAATTGAACCCACATCCCCTGCACTAGAAGGTGGAGTTTTAACTGCTGGACTACTGGGTAAGTCCCAGAAGAAAGATTTAAAAAACTAAACAATAACAAATAGAGCCTCAGAGATCTATGTAACGTAAGTAAAAATGTCTAACGTATATGTAATTGGAGTCTCAGAAGAAGACAAGAAAGAGAATGGGAAAGGAAAATATTTGAAGAAATAATGGCCAGATTTTTAAAAAATTTGATGAAATGCATACATTTACAGATCCGGAAACTCTGAACTTCAAACAGGATTAATTTGAAGAAAGCTGTACCTATGCACATCATACTCTAACTGTTGGACACCAACAGTAAAGAGAAACTTTTGATAGTGGTCAGAGAAAATGGCAGGTTACCTTCCAGGACACTGTACTTTAAATTAGCACAGCCTTCTTATCAGTAACTACAGAGTCTAGGAAAAGTAAAATGATATTTTTAAAGTACAGAGAAGGAAAAAGAAAAATCCTGTTAACCCAGAAATCTATGTATAGTGAAAATATCCTTTGAGAATGAAGGCAAATTAAAGACATTTTCAGATAAAAGTAAGCTAAGAGAATTCATTGCCAGCAGACCTACAACACAAGAAATGCTAAAGGAAGTTATTCAAGCTGAAGTGAGATAACACCAGATGGAATCTTAAATCTTCAAGAATGAATCAAGAATGTCAGAAATTGTAAATATGAAAGAGTGTTTTTTTTTTCATCTCAGTATCTTTAAAATACACAGAAAATTTTAAAGCCAAATTGTAACACTGCCTTATGATACTTATAATGCGCTATGTGTAGATATCATATGTAAGACAATGATAGCATAAATAATGAGGGGGGTTGCATAGTAAATGGACTTATATAATTGTATAGTTTTCAATTTTATGTGGGGTGGTAATGAAATGAACTCTTAAGTAGACTGTGAAAGGTCAAGAATGTATATTTTAATGCTTGGAACAATAACTGAAAATCCAATAGATAAAGTAGAATCCTAAGCACTTTAAAAATGATCCCCAAAAATGCAGGGAAGATTGAACAGAGAACAGAAAGCAGAAGAAGCAAAAGGAAACCAAGCAATGAAATTGTAGCTCTAAGTGCAACCATATCATGTTAATCATATTTATTTATATTGAATGATGTTATTGTTCCATTGTGCACTTGTGTCAGACTCTTTGTGACACTATGGACTGCAGCATGCCAGGCTTCACATTAAACATTAATGTTGTGCACTGACTTTTGGAACTCAAATAAAGGCCCTTTCATGTTGGGTGAAACTCTTCTTGGTAGATTGGACCTAGGCTGGTCTTTGGTAGGAGATCAAGCCCTGAGCCTCTGATGTGGGAGCACTGATTCCAAGACCCTAGACAACCAGAGAACTAACCCTAGG